TGTCCTAACTGATCTATTCTTGCTCAGTCCCTCTAATCACTCTTGAGAGTGCTCCCATGTCATTTCATAGCACCCAGCTCAGTGAAGGAGATGCTTCTAACTTTTTTTTACGAGCCTCTTTTTCTCCCAGAAGTTCAATGCACAGACCTGAAATTTTGGACCACTTCCTGAAACTGGCACTGCGGGCCCCGTATGCCTCCATCACCCACCTGCGCATGCACAGCACCGCCCCGTGGTAGCCCAACATGCCAGACATGTAAGTGCAACCGCACCAGGAGACCTGTCTCCAGGGGCCACAGGCCAAATGACAAAGAGCCAGGAGAGGAGGTTTATAGCTGAATATCTTTGCCCAAGGGAAAGCAGGCCAAAGAATACAAAATGTCGGCAGAGGGCATGTTGCCCTTGATTGAGTGGAATAGGGCCCCTGTTGGCTGGAAACCCAGAATTAACAACAACAACAAGAAGAAAATTAGTAATGCTTGCCAGCTGGGGAGAGACATCTGGCTAGTGATCAGAGGGGCCTGTGAGTCAATTAATCCATCTCCGAGATGGATTAGCACATTGAAACATGCTTTCCTTCACTGCTGCAGAGGGACCTGTTGAATGAGCTGTAAAGATGAATGGAACTAAAGAAATTTCATTTAGATGAAGAAAAATGACTCTGAAATAGTGGGTGGGTGTTTTTTACACGCCTTATGTGCTGCAAGAATTAAGCACAACTCAGAGAATTTAGGGCACGAAGCAGCCATTTGGATACAAAAGCTCTTGAATTTAAGATCTGATTGTTTTTAAATTTGTATCTAGATATCTGCCTATTTATTTTTCATGCTTATAGCATACCCAGGACAAAAGATACTACAAACACAGATTAGGATAAATAGTTCTTTCAGTCCATTCTTCCTCAGCTGTGTTATATCAAGTTACTGTGTGTGTCTCTGCAGAAGCTATTCCTGGGCTCTTTTGTTATTATATGGTACAGCAGGGCTGTTGCTCAAGGACATCATCCTGCGTTTAGCTCTGGAGAGACTGAGACTTAGTCTCCACCTTCTCTGTCATTGCAGATCAATGGGACACGGTCTCCGTAGATTCTTTTCAGATCTTCAGAGATAGGATTTGAAGGGACCTCTCTGGTCACTGAGTTCAGTTCCTGCTGTCATGAGCCATCAGGTCATATAATCCCTTCCATGGATTTTTTTAAGCTCCGTCTTCAATTTTGATTTTTTGGCTGTTATTCCTGCTGTGGAAGGCTTTTCCAAAACTTCATTCTTCTGCTGTTTAGAAACCTCTTTATAATTTCCACTGTCTGTCTATTCAGGACCAGGTGATAGCAATTTGTTCGTATGCCAGAAATGTGTTTTAGTCTCCTTCCTCTCGAGTACTAAACCCTCTGAGGTGTCTGTGGGTAGCTGTCAAAAACTTCAGCTTTCCTTTTATTCAGCCAAGTATGTGATGCTACATTTCTCCTTTAAAACAGACTCATGAGTGCCTTGGTTATTGTAGTAGTCCTTTTACACACCTATTCATTCCTATTTCAATTATTATTTTGACAATAATACATGGGTTATACACAAGTTTTAAATGGTATCCTGTGCAATGGCACTAGTACCAACTTGCATCTACAGAAGACACCCTTTTGTCTGTACTCTGAAAGCTGTATTCACTGGTTGGGTGCTACATGCACCTAAGCAGTCTCCTCTGTTGTTTTCAGCAAAGAAGCTTTCAGCTTTAGGAAAGTATGAGGAGCTTCTGATAGCACCTATAAGCTTATACTGGAGACCTCTTAGGAAGAGACACATGAGATTTCTCATCCAGGAGAGGATGCCCAGGAACTATCTTAATGCAACTATTAGCAAAGCAAATTCAGTGCTAGGATGCATCAGGCAAGATTTCTCTAGCAGTAGTGAGGACTGTCTTTGTGTATTACTGATAAGATAAACAGTGCCAGCGAAAAGTCTTAGACAATATAATCTGATTGCCCATAGAGAGAAACTGCTGGAACAGTCCCTGACATACTTCTGACCTGAGTCTTGTAGTTCTTGTGGGACATGACCCAAATAATTCCTAGACCAGACTTGGGACTTAGCACATATTGGGGGCCATTCACCGTATTTATTTTCAATGTGGGCACCCTGTTTTAAAGGCTGAGAGAGGTTAGCCGTATGGGTGCACACCACTGTGGGCCTAATGATCTCATTGCATGAGAACAGTCCCACATAGCTATCGACACCAGTGTACATCTCCTTGTCTGAAGGACTGTGCACAGCTCTGATCATCCGTATTCGTGACAGAGGAACTCAAAGGCTGCAACTACAGATCTTAAACAGTGACAGACACCAGAATACGATCATCCATATCACTTAATTGCTAACACAGCCCCTGGCCCTTGAGTTTTCACCAAGATAACTCTCCCAAAACAACTGCTGGGAAGAGGCTGGAGACTGTCTTAGCCCCAGCGGCATTCACAACAGACCCCTGGGATGTGACTGTCCAGTTCTGGAGTGCCAGACATTTTAGCTCTAAGGACACAGCACAGCTGAGCCAGATGGTATCTGGACCAAAGAGTGGTCCATGACCCATCATATTTGTTAAAATACTTGCAGCCAAACTGATTCAGATGTAGTAAAGGGTTGTTTGGGTGATCAAAAGAATGAAGAATTAACTCTATGACAGCAGGTAAAATAGATTTTGAATGCTTTTTTAAAATCCTTTTTATACTTGGAGTTTTATGTACAGAAACTGTCCACAGCTCCTAGAAATTTGTTCCTCAATTCCTTTAACTGGAACATCCCAAATTATTTCAGCTGTCACATGTCATGTCTGAGAGACAGTGAGCTTTGACATAATATGTACCTCCAAACGGATGCAGCACTTCTCTGGGAGGCAATGACAATTGCTGAGCATGATTTTCTTCCCAATAAATATGAAAACTCCACAGGCAGCTGTCAAAAGATATTCACTCTCCTTTAAGACATTTCATATGAATCCCCTTCTTCCCTCTGTTACTCTGTTATCTGTCTTCTCTCTCAAGAAAAATGCCAAAGTGTATAAATTCAGGGCTTACCCCTCTGAAAAACAAAGGAGCCTAGAGTAATGAAATCCCAAACCCACGAACATCTCTACATAACTGGGTCGTATCAGGTTTGCAAATATATAGTCCCAATCAGTACTGTGTCACTCAGTGTCCATTGCCAGCTATTGACTGTTTTCCAACACAGACCCAGAGATAAAGAGGGAAGGACTCCCTCTTGGCAAGAGTATAAAGCCTACTGCAGTGAGTGTTCTGCCCTAACAGGACTCCTAGTTATACTTACACAATGCTTAAACTACAATATTAGTCACAAATTCAGTTATCTCATCTGAGGAGCCAGGAAGGGGATGAGAAGCATTTATCTGCCTTTTTCTTTAAGTGCAAAGGAAAGGCTCAAACCTGGTCCCCAGTTTGCCTCATGTTCAGACCAGAGGTCCAGCAGTGTAAAACCCTCTCTGTCTGGGGACCACCCCCAGTTCTTTCTCTTCTGATGGTGTCTGAGAAGAAGCAATTGAAGTACATGCAAGCTTTTTGGACAGGAGCGAATACACACAGGGCGGAACCAATGCCATGGACTACAAGGATGCAGAGGCACCTCCATTCACTTCCCTATAGTTCTGAGGAAGGCATCTCAGGCCTAACCCAGCCAGCACCTTGTCCCTCCCCACCAGCTGCAGGCCCCCCTGCTCAGTATGCCACCAGTCTGCCTTCTTTCCTAGGGCTCCTGATTTTTGCTCTATCCATGTGCAGTGATGCATTGAGCACTGTGAACCAAAAGCCAGTGGCTTAAGACTTTTGTTACAGATGCTTCTGAAACATCTTTATCCACTCATTTCCTTCCCTCCACCCCAAGTGGCATCCAAATGCCACTAATTTCTACAATTTTAGATATCTATATATTCCTCCATTCCTTTCACAGTTGTGTTCTAAGCTATGTATCTTCTAAAACCATTTGATCCATAAATCAAAAAGTTTTCTAAAGAAACAAGTGATCCTAAATAGATACATATTCTTGAAAATAAGAATTTTAACATGCAAATAGATATAAATAGAAGAAAGTCTGAATTTATAGTCTTTATAAATAAACCCAAACTTACTCTCACAGCCCATCAGTGTGATGAAAGGACTCCAACTTGTCTCATATCACCAATGGGGAATATGGGACTATTAGCAATGGAGAAATGTGCCTACAGTCACACTTGACATAAAACTGTTAATTCAGTTGAGATTTCCTGATCATCAGCTCATAAGTTAATCATGATGAGAGAAAATAGTCAATTAGGACAGCTCCAGGAGCATGAAATAACTCTAAATATCCCTTTATAGCTATTAACCATGTTCCTTCAAAATGGCACAAGAGACACAGGGAAAGGACCAGGGAAAGACAGGCCTGGTCAAGAGGATTGCCACTCATCTAAACTCTGTCAGCTGTGACACTGTAGGTGTCTGCTGCCAGCAAACACAAACCACCAGCACTGGCCATCTCAGAAAGCAGTGGTCCCTCATTCAAGAAGGAAAAGCACATGGGTGTTTTAAACATACCCGCAAACTTTCCTGACCCTCTACTCATGTAGAAAGGAGCCTGTGTATTATAAAAAGAAAGTGTTGCTTAAAAAGATATTATTAACTTGTTTCAGAGCACGTCCAACAGAAACTCTGGGAATAATAAAGTGTTTAAAGCCGATGCCTGCCTCATTCAGATGTGACAAGGAGCTGATCCAGAGACACCCAGGAACTTTAGCAGGCAGTGGAGCAGGCCCATCAGTTTCTAGTACTAATAAGAGCAGAGCTATTAGTGCTTTTGCATGACATCCTGTAAGAAAAAGCACTGACATTTGGCTTACTCAGGAGAGATTTCACCATCTGTTATTGTAGAGACCCAATAATGATACAAAAAAAAACCAAATAAGTGAAAAAGCCTAATACTCTGTCATCATTTCAAATTTAGTGAGGTCTTAAAATATTCCTGCACAGGTAGAGGATTTTGCTGGAGGAGAATCAACAGAGCATCGGGCTCAGTTACATCGGACCTTCCTGTGTTAGATCTGTCAAGCAACTCCTATCGTCACGTCTGTGAGTGTGAGTAATTGTTTTTATTTAAATTCATGTGGTATTTACTACCTACACCAAGACAGATAATGGACAGATAGCAGAACAGTGATCAGCAAGTGGCTACCACTTAATTCTTTTTTATTCTGCAGCTTGCCTGCTTTCATCTGTCTTCCCTTCTGAAGAAGTAAGGATGTTCCTTGTGTCTCAGATGGAAATGCAATGGCCGATTATGAATTCATTGCAAGTTTTCCATTTTCCATCCAAAATCACGACAGTGATAAAAAAATAAAATCCCACAGTATTTGTTTCCAAAAGCATTCAGCTCCATGCATATATGTTTAGCTTTCTGCAATCGGATTTCTCATCCCCAAAAGGACAGAGGCTGAACTTTCTAAGTAGCAAATATAACATTTAAGGAGTCTATACGCCTTGCCAAAAACAATAGGTACTAAGTACAGTGGTAAGGGCAGAGCATCTTAAGAAATATTGAAATAATTTGTTGACTTGCTGCAGTTCTATTGATTTCAGAAACACAAAAGAGAATATGCTGAACAGGAGGAAAAAAAAAAAAAACAAAAAAAAACATTAAGTAGCATCACGTGAATGCGGTAGTAAAACATCCTACATACTCTCATCACTGTCAGGTTCCTGCAGGAAGAAAATATGTGTTCAGCCTTGAAAACTACCTTCTTTTAATACAAGTATTGGTACGCATTCATTTGCTCTAGCTATCTGAATTCCTTTGGGTTTAGTGAAGCTGTCAAAACCTTACAAGTGCGAATGCTGTTGTGTAAGTAAAATTAATGACTCTTTTTCTGCTTCCCATATTTTAAAGCTTTAAATGAGTCTTACTGCTGGGGGAAAGGGGAGGAAAAGCGAAGGGGATGTCAAAATGGAATTGTAAATCTGTCGGCATTTAAAATCTTAGACCTGATTGACCTCATGACGGTGCTTTAGACCGGCGTTTATCTTGGTATTGTAAAGCAAGCAAACTATCTTTACCCAGGCATGAATCCCACTTTGCAATCTGTTGTAACTAACTGGGGTATGAGGCTCAAGTGGAATGCTCCAGTCAAGCAAGTAAACATTGAAAAACAAACAAAAGCATTTGCATTTGTGGAAGTATTAAATGTAATTACAGTATGCCCTTTAAGTGTGTGTAAGTGTTGGAGTAAGGGGACAATAAAATGAACATAGATGTAAGTCAATTATTAAATAAAATTGAAATATTTAAATAACTAGTATCAATAATAACTTGTGCTTGTCTAAATGGTGTGTGCTGAGCTTTTAGCTGATGCCTGTCATGATATGGGGTCACAGACTAAGAGTTGTCTAGGAGGAGGGTTTCCTCAGTGTCCAGACCCCCCAGCACATTGTGGGCTACACCCTGATCTATAGGCTGGCTATTTTCAGTACAGCAGGGAGGACTTCCCAGCAACATCCTGCTGACAGCTCAAGATGAAGGCTGGCTACAGAAAGCAGTGTCAGCCTGCCAAGCGCCACTGCCTACACGCTGTCCATCTATGCCAGTGGCTCTATCCCAGGGCAATTTAGGCTCAACTCAGTAGAGGTTATTGACACCCTCATATTTCAGCTGGCCATGCTACGCTCCCCCACGGTCATTAGAAGGGCTCTCCAAAAAGCACTTTAGAGCAGGAGCCAGGCCCAGGTGCTCTGAAAATCTCATGGAATTTTCTTAAGGAACTTGCATGTGCCCAGAAAGAAGAGGGAGCCCTGGAAAAATTTCTAGTTTATGTTTTTTTCTCTACGTGCTAGAAGCAGAGATGACCCTACATGCCTTGTTTAATTGTTCTTCTAATATTCTAATATCTTCTTCTCATAATTCTCTGAGGTCTATCTCCTGTTTTACCAGGGTGTGTGCTCCCAGTTTTTGCTCAACCTACCAACATACCCCCTCAAAACCCAGAAAAAAAAATCTTTCCTGTGGATATGTCAAAATGTTGAAGTTTGGTCTGAGGTGTGTCACCAGCTGAATGAAATCTGGCTGAAGCCTGGAGAAGATGGGATTAATGTTGCTATCCATTGGGGCCAAATTTTGGCTGCCAGGAGAAGCATAGTTAATTTACCTCTGTGCAGAGAAGAACAGAGTGTACTCACTGACCAGACTGCCTGTCACTGGAGGAGTGTATAGCACATTACATGCATTAATTCTTAGGATGCCGTCACAAGGTCAGAAAGTAATATTACCGCTATTTTATATAGGCACAAAGAGGTGAGCCAAAGACAGAGATGAGACTGGAACCAAGTTTCAGTGCACTGCTTTGCTTACTAGACTGGAGCCCTTCTAACAAATGGAAGGGGATTTTGTATATTACATTGTGAGCCCAAAGCCAATAAAAAAATTCTCATGAGTTTTAATGAGTTGACTGCAGGGAATATGGCATGTACTCGAGTTTTCTTAAGAGATTTGGGGAAGTCAGTCTTTAAATTAAAGATTATCATAAAGTCAAAAGGTGCTGAAGGACACAAAAAAAAAAAAAAAAAAAAAAAAAAAAAAAAAAAGCCATTATTTTCTCCTTCTCATAAACAAACAAACAAACAAAAAAGAATATTCAGGGCACTTTGAGTGGTTCTGATCTAATGTTGTAGGATTCTTTTCTATTGATACTGCTACTGGCTATGCAGTCACTTCACCGCTGAAATTCATCACCTTTCTGGACAGATAACTTTGTAAAGGGTTAGTGCTGTGGCCATAGTGGTCTTGTTTAAGTCAGGCAATATTTGTGAAGAGAAATGGGAATTCAATTAAAGTTTTTTAAGAGAAATAAATAAGCTTTGGATAATGAAGACCTGAAAAAGAATTTTGGTACCCTAAATGATGTCTACTTTTTGCATCCATCTCAGTCTTATAACAGGAACCACTTCTTGTATGTGGACTGGGCTGTACTGAAGGTCATCCTCCAATGCCTCTAGCTTCTTGTTCTCTTCATAGCTCTTTGACACTGATGATCTCTGAGAATTAGATTCTAGAACTGGGAAAGAAGTGATATTTGTTTCTTCTGTAATTGATTCATGACACAATTTTTTTTCCTCCACGGCTTTTAATTGGTAGAATAAAGGGGTGGCACTTATCCCCCAGTAATAAAGGGATTTGTATGTGGTGGAGAAATACTAAATATTCTTATTTATTAGTTTAGCTAGTGAAAAGGAGAGACCTGTTCACAAGTCCATGAAAAAATATTTCTGAGTGTAAGGATTAGGTGTTCAAAATGGAGAAGTAACCAAAGGAAACAGAGGTCTGTTGCAGGTTTACTTCCCTGTTGCCTTGTTGATCCATCCAGGATACTAACAGTCCCCGAGTGATGATCATGCCATTGCTTCAGACTCACGGTATTCACTGAAGCACAGCTAATGCCCTCTTATAATTGTTTTCTGAATGTTGAAAGCAGCCAGAAAACTCACATGCAGTCATACATATATATGCTCACTACTACCCTTAGGCTGATGGAAATTTTATAAATTGCTTACCCTGTCTGGAACTGTATTGCTTCCAACCAAATAACAGAGCATTGATTCGAGCAGCAAAACTAGGAGTTGGAAATGGTTCTCTGAAACAGCAGGCTTAACAGCTGAAGGTATCAAAGCTCCAAGCCTTCATGCTAGCCAGCTGATGAGTTTTCAATTTCTTTTCTGTGGCTCCTGAGATGAAATAACAAATTCATAAGTTAGTCCTGTTGACCTTTAAGTATCAATGGAGAAAGTTTGCACCTTCTATCAGAAATTAAAATAATCATTTGGTGTACTTATATGGACTTTTAATACTAATGGTAATAAGGTCCTTGTGCTTTTTTTGCAGACCTGTTTGCTCCTTTACTCAATATGTTTATGATGAGGACCTACCCACACCTGCAATAGTCACTCAGGGGCACCAACATGCACCTGGCAAAACTGATTAGTGCACTTACATATATGTCAGATAAACTGCTCTTCAGACAGGTAATGCAAGGGTGTCCACATACCTGAGGTCAAGATGTACCTCACATGCAGATATCTTTTCCAGTTCTCTGACTTTCTTACTACACCTGTTTAAATTCAATATATTTTATACTTGATTCATCAAATAGAAGAAGGGAGAAATTTAATTTTTCCACTTGAAAAATTATGGTCCTTTGTATTACATTTCTATGCTTTCCCACATTACACTCATATTTAATTCTGTTTAGGTACCAAATATTCATTCAGGATGAATGAATAATTCTGAACAGCTGGAACAAGAGAACAAAAAGGTTTTAATGTTAACAGTGGTTCAGATCCATCAGCGAGATAACCATGATGACACAAACGGAGTCTCTTTCACCAGTACTTAATGTGGCCATTACACTGCACAGTGGTTTATTCCCCATGATTACAGTCCTAGCTCAAAACAGTCTGTTGGTACACAAGAGCTCATAGTTCAAACCTACAATGCTCCTGACTCAATGAACCAGTGAAGCCAAAGGTTTCATGTTGACTCTAACAGACGTTGATTCAGCAGCAGACACAAATTCTTGAATTCAGCTTGAAAAATGTCGGTGTTTTCTCTCAGCAGAAGAGATCCTTTCACTGGTGCCTGTTGCTAAAGCTGTAATTTTCCATCATGTGGCTCTCTTGAGCCCTAGTTGAATGGAAACATAGGGTGTGGCCTGCCTGAGCCTCAGTTTAGGGTGAGCTGAGAGAGTGCTGAGGGTGAGAAAGTTTCAGCCAGGAATTGTGTAAGAGGTACAGAGATGGAAGCACTGCTACTTTGCCATTGAAAAAGATTACATTTAAAAGATTCTATTAAAAAGATTCATTTAAAAAGCAATAGCAATTGCTTATGATTTGAAGCAGTCCGTTGAGAGTGAGCACAAGAGTCATTTGGTTGAGACTTTTACTAAACCACTTGGGATAACCTGAAGCTGGGCTGTTACCAGCCCTTCAACATAATCACCGCTTACACATACTCAGGAAAACCTTCTTAAGAGACCAGCAGCTGAAGCTTTTAAAGAGTCTGTCCTTGCTGAAGGCACTTGAGCCTCTCA